ATATATATATATATATATATATATATATATATATATATATATATATATATATATACACTTGTGAACTTCTAGCTGGAAATGTCATGAAAGCTGTACAAACTGTAACACTCTGTATATACAAAATGACAAAAGTTGTCTAAGTCAGTCTAAGTAGAGTAGTGTTACTCTACTTCCTCCTCTGCTTCCTGGAATCAAAGCCTGATATTCCTCCCATTTCTTCCTACTGTCAGTCAAGTTTGAAGTTGGATGGAAGCAACCTCTGCTCAGGGTAAATGTTTTCTTGGCTGCAGGTTCTCGGCACTGACATGCAATCAGAGAAAAAGCCTTGTAGTTGTTTTTCTTGACATTTAAAAAGCGTATATAATGCAATTTTGAGAGACAGTTTGCTCATATAGATGGATGGACTATTGTAATTGTTTAGTATCAGAAAGTCCACAAATTGTACTTAAAATTATTTTGATTTTATGTTCTATTCACTTCCCACCCAGTTGGGAATTTATATTTCTGATACTTTAAGATATTTATTACCCTCCAGGGTAGGGGTGGAAAATATTTTATTTAATCAGATATTATTTTGTCTGTTATATACTGTTTATGAACACTTGCCCTACTAGCTGTGTGTTAGAACAATAAATGAAAGAGTGAGTCAAGCTCTAATCATGGTCAAACAGTTAATTCTGCACATACGTGGAGTAAATTCACAACAACTTCTGTCAAAATATAAGAATTTATTAACAAAAATCATTCAGCTCCAAATCAAACATATTTCGGTTTAACACTCTGTCATGGTCTTGGTTCTGTTATGTTTTACTTTTCTCCATGTTTTCTAGTTTTATTGTTTTAATTATTTTGTTGTGTTTTCTGGTTGTATTTCAGTTCTTTGTTGCCCTCTTGTGTTAGTCTTCTTTTCCCTAGCTCCTTCCCAGACTGCTCGGTTCACACCTGCTCCCAATCTGCAGCTTTGCTGCTCCTGCTGCGCGGTGGTTAAGCGGGTCTGCTGACCCTTGCCCTTTACCTACTGAATACAGTTTTTTTTTTCAATGTATAACATGAGGTTGTATGTCCTGTTTGTCTCTGTGTTGCCCTGCGTTGGACTGGCGACCTGTCCAGGGTATACCCCGCCTTTCGCCCATTGACAGATGGAGATAGGCACGAGCACCCCTTGCGACCCCAATTGGGACAAGCGTGTCAGATAATGGATGGATGGATGGATTTATAACATGATTGCATAAATACCTCATTTTATTTCAGTGTTAGACTTTGTTTAAAGTAACAGATCATTAAAAATGTCTCTGGACCTTTACTGGTTGATGATTTTCTTTATTCGGACCCCCCTAATTTTTAATTGTTAACCCCTAGTTTTTTATGTTTATAAATATTTATTGCACATCATGTGCGCCATCCAATGCAGATCATTGGCTCCATCCACATCTAGTGAAAACTAGTGTAATTGGATGAGTCATATAACGCAAACACTCATTGGTTAGCTAGAGGAAATCATCAGAAGCAAGAAGGTGTTCTTCAAACTGCAAACGTGAATTTTTTATGCCATGCTATAATTTCGGATTCAGAAAAAGATGTTGAAATGTCTGAAAGGTCGGACACAGACGGGAGCGTATAGAGAGATAGAGACCAACAAAACCTCCCTCATCCTTGCCCCTATCGCAAAGAATTTTGCAAAATAGTCGAAAAATTGAGCTTTCAAATCATATAGTGGCATCTGGCTGTTTTTTTAAAGGTTACATTATACTTTATACTTAAAGTAGTTTTTGGACCACATACTTTTTCACTTTGACTTGAGTAAAGAGGTCAAGTTGATACTTCAACTTTTACCAGAGGGTTTTTAAACTGCAGTATCTGTACTTCTACTTAAGTAACAAATGTTTGTACGTTTGACACCACTGCTAAATAAGAGTTACAATGTACGGAGCCAACTCTCCAAAAAGTGTCAAATTAACATTCGCTCGTGTGGACCCATATAGACACTTCAAGTGTGTAAAAATCAAATCGGACAGTGTGGATTTGAGCGTGTTGGATTTGCTGTGTGCCTACCAATATTTACGCCATTGCTGTCACTGTGTAACCCCGAAATCCCGCATCCTCCGCTCCGCCCTGCAGCGCTCCAGACCGCCTGAGCAAAGCAAAGCCTACATCCTCCCCTGTTCATCCCGTCTTGCTTCTCTCCGACTTCCTCGGATTTTGAGGACAGCATGCGCGGAGCAAAACATGCGGAAACGAACGCTTAATTTAAAATGACATATATAAAATAAAAAAAAATCCCCATCACCATCCAGCATATGTTCAGTTTCTGTCCAAATATTTTATTTTTGTTGTGGAGTCCAAACTCAGCATCACTTCCAGGACTGCAATAAGAAGTTTATTTTGAAGTTGTGAGATACAATCTTAGAAGTTTTTAATTGACTTTATTAAACTTTTAAGCCTCTCGGTATAAAAAAATTAAATGAAATGAAATTGATGGAGATGATAAATCTGCTTCCTGGTATGATGAAGTACCAATAGTCTGCATCCAAGTTTTTCGAAAAATATGTCATGTTTGGTTTAACGTTTTCTAACCCACATGCAGAACACTCAGAGGCAGGAGAAAAGTTCAAAGGTTTATTAAGAAGATTTGTTCACAATAAAGGACTGATCCAGAGGGGAACTCTTCTGCTCACGAGTGGGTTCTGAAAGGCACACAGATTAATCAGATCCAGGACTGGTCACGAGTGGGTTCACTGCAGAGG